CGCTTCCTCCTTCCTGGTTGGAAGGCAGCTCTAATGAGCGATGGGCAGCCGCGTTCACAACCGCAGCAGCTCTTTGCATAGAAAACAGGCAGCCTCAGCAACCCACATGCTATGCCCCGCTTTCTCCCTCCCCTGCGCGGCAGGAGGTCCTACCTCCTGCTAATTGCTCAGCCAAGTAATTAGCTGAGGCAGATTTTGGCTCTTAGCTAGGCTGGTGGGGCTGCCACCCTGCTCTGCCCACAGCAGACCCCTGGGCAGACCAGCTACCAGTGGTTTGAAACCCCACTTTGTACCACCTGTACTCGCTGCTCCCTTCTGCCTCCAGCTGTGCCTGCCTTTGCTGCCCATCTCCATAGCCCAAGGGACTGCGCCGCTGGCGACCAGAGAGCTGGCAACGACTTCCCTGCCTGCCTGTCCCATCCCACAGGCACCAATCCAGCTACACCAGTGCCTGTGAGACTGAGAACCACACCACAGGCAGGGGAAAGAGCCCATCTACCTCTGCCCTGGAAAAGGGGAACAGCAGTGGTAACTCGGACACCTCCAAGGGCATGGGGCAGCCAAGATGTGTAAGTCACTGCTGGGGAACTCTCTGACACCCCAACCCAAAGGTCCCGTCTCACACGCTACCCTGGAAATGACGCAGATACGACACTCAGCAGGGAGGAAAATGCTGCAGCCTTAATCCTTCATTTCCCTCTCCTCGAACTGTGGCAATGCGGAGGGAGAACCGAGCATAGGGGAACCAGCCAGCCCTGCACATCCCCAGCGCCACCTGCACCTCTCCCTGCAGAACAGCCCCAGCCTCGCTACCAGCCCGCGGCCTCTGCCCACGCAGGGCAGATCCAACTCATCCTGGGAAGCTCTCCTTCCCTTCCTTTGTCCTGCTCTATTTGGGTGTTTCTCTCCAATCCTCCAATCCCCACTGCTTGGAAATCACATGAGCACAGCCTAACAGTCTTTACAGCCTTTCACGCCACCCTTCCAGATACAATACTTCTGGCCCTTTACTTTGTAGGGCAGCACCTTGCAGCCATTAATAATTCTTGTTGCCTCTCCCTGAAGCCCCCTATATTTTACTGGCGTCTGTCCTGAAACATGGCTTTCAAAGAAGGCCCAAGCCATCGCAAGATCCCTCAGTCCATCATATTGCGATCTCCCTTCTCATGTGCTTGGGGCTCACTTTGTCCCTGCTGGCCCTCTTTATGACTCTTGATTTGCTTCATTGCAAATGGAGTCCTTTGTACTAAATAAAAGAAGGTGCTTGGTTCCCTGCAGAGAAAAAAGAACTACAACCACACTGCAGAACAGGAAGGGGGAAGAGTCCCACTTTTAGCACACTGCAAAACATGTCACTGCCCCAGCCAGTAACTCAGTGACAGGCCCCCATGCACCCACCTGCATGGAAGTACGGGCTCATCGTGTACGGGAATCCGAAGGGCAGCGGCTGAGGCGGTGGGATGGAGGCTGGCGGGAGATATTTCACCTCGTTTTTGTTGATGCCTGGGCCAAGCAAATGGCTGGGGGACTCGGCGCTCGAGGAGCTGCAGGGGGCATTTTGGCCAGCAGCCGCTTCACCCAGCTCCTTGGCCCCTTCACAGACTTTGCCCGTCTCTTTGCACTCCTTAAGCTCAGCGGCCGAGCTGCTGCTCTCAGCCTTCAGGCTCTCCGGCTTCTCGTCGCTCACATCTGCGTCGCTCTCAGAGTCCTTCATCTCCTCATCGTTACAGTCTGGCACCCCATCCCGCGCCC